ATACCAGCTTTTAATTTACACTACTCTCATGTCTACCATACCCGCTACTCCTCGGAGACCGCATCCATCCACCGCTACCCCTTCTGCAACACCCAGTACATCAAGGGTAACTAATGCTCACGCTGTACAGGCATCCCCGCACTACCAGACTACGCGCCGACACTCCCTTTATGGCACCGAGGACCGTATTGTGATCGACCCAGGCTCCCGTATCTGGAAAGTAGGATTCAGTGGGGAGGGAAGGCCCAGGGACGTTTCTTTTGTCGGACCTATGTGGGGGTTACGTCGCGCCGCGGAGCTGGTGGAACGCGACGAAGAAGATCGGCTGCTGGAGGCGCGGATACAGACTCATCTCAGGGCGGTCTTTCACGAGTGAGTGCGTGCATTTTCGGTCGGGTTTCATGCTACAAGGTGCTGGAGTATTCAACGTCAACCAGTGTCCTTCTCACGGATCCCAAATCGCGCAAAGTCATCGTGATCGAAAACCCATTGCTACCCGTCTATGTAAAGGACATGTTCGCGCGGGTTCTGTTTGGCAATCTGCAAGTACGTCGTCTGACTGCATGTCGCTTTGCTTATATGCTGAAACACCCGCGGTCCAGGTCCCATCTATATCCTTTGCTTCCAGTCACCTTCTCTCTTTGTTATCTGTCGGACGAATAACAGGATTGGTGCTGGATTGTGGCTGGCTGGAGTCTACCGCACTTCCCGTAAGTTTGATTCGGAGTTTCGCCGCCCTGTCCTTATTCACGTCTGTTTAGATATTCTCATCTAGGCCGCTGTTCCCTCAACTACGGAGTACGCCCTTAGCGGGCTCCCGTTTAACCGCGCATATACGCGCTCTCCTGCTCCTCTTCGGGACCTACATCGCGCCTCCCACTTCTCTAAGTGGACCGACCAACATACCGGCTTCATCGCGCTCTATGCGTGTTCCCCAGGACATCCTCACAGACGCCGTCATTGAAGAAATCAAGACCAGATGTTGTTTTATCGGCCAGCCGCTTGACACGTCTTCCGACATGCGGATTATGACGCCATCTGGTGACGATACTATGGACCTTGACCTTCCCCCCAGCACAGCTCCGTCCGAATCTGACTATTCGCGCGTTTCCGCCGATCTGGACAGCAATATGGACTCGTCGCAGCCCGAGTCGTCTGGATTCTCCGTCGTTTCCCGCTCACAGTTCGCACCAGAGCGCTCGACCCGTCACGAGAACCAGCTGGAGGCCTTGGCGAGCATGTACAAGCGTCATTCAACGGCCACTGATCTGCAACTGAAGGTGACGCCACCACCGTCACAGCAGCAAGGTACAGGGTTGGGCACGCTGATCATTCCAGGATGGATTCGAGAGAGGGGGGGAGAAGTTCTCTTCGAAGGCGGCGATGTTGACGAGAGCAGCTTGGCTGAGACCGTCTTGGATGCACTGCTCAAGGTCACCTTTTGCGCGGCTAAGCTCACGCACGAAATGCTCACGCATATGCAGGTCCCAGTGGATCTCCGAAAGGCTTTGGCCTCGTCCATCCTCGTTATCGGAGGCACGTCGATGCTTCCAGGTTTTATTCCGCGACTGCACTCCGAACTCCTACGCGCGATCGCCTCCTCTCCGTCCTCAAACGCGCGCCCAGCGATCCGGCCAGACAGACCGCGGCCGCCTGCGTTTGATCGCTACGCTGTCCTCCGCCCCCTCGTACCGCACTTTGCCATCCTCAACAACCCAAACCCCCCACCTCCGACGGGTACACGGGGTAACGCGAACTCTGGCAAGGCGCCCGCGTTCACGCCGGCAACTATGGCCTGGGTTGGCGGTTCGTTAGCAGGGTACGTCCCGTTGATAATCACCCAGAGGCGCGCAGCCAACGCTTACGCTTGCTTTTGACGATAGAGCCCTGAAGACAGGCGGCGTAGAAGTCTCTCGAGAAACATGGGATGAAGGACAGGAGTACTCGGACCCAGAGGACGCAAACGCCGCGATAGTAACCCCAGGACGCTTTGTCCGAAACGTGCTTCCGGACTGGACGCGGGCACCATTACCGGTAGGGGCGCCGCCAGTGAATCGAGTGCGTCCGATCGCGGATTCGGGCGCCCAGGTGGCGGTCGGTGCGTGACTCGGTGCGTGACGGAAGGACGTATACGGGATGTTTGGGGCTGGAGGCGGCATGCGTTCTATACGATCAGATAATACGACGAGTGCGTCGGACCACGCGAGGTGGACATAAGATCGCGATGAAATGGTGCGGGCCGTAGGCGTGTGAGGAAGTTGAGAGAAAGAGATGGTAATGGGAAAAGAGAAGGGGGAAGGCAGCCAAAACTGGCTGGGAGAGAAAGGAAATGGGCAGATGCGATGGGAGCGGGGCGGTGAACCAAGTCCGGACGAAGGAGCGGGAAGGAAAGGGAGGGCGGTTGTAAAGGCCGTTGGACCGAAATGTAGAGTAAGACGGCCCTTGTCCTTATCCATCGCACTATAAAGCCCTTCATTCCTGCAACTCCCCTTCACTTCCCTCGCCCCTCGTCCCCGGACACAACCCAAGTCCAGTTCATTTGCCTCCACCTGATCCCTCACAGAACTTCACCATGGGCATGAGCTACCGTCGCTACCTTGCAGGAGCCCGCGTTTACGGCTGCTCAAAGTGTCGCACACACCTCTCCACCATACATTCCATGATCTCCCGAGTGCGTCCCCCCCGCCCCCCTCACACCTTTCCGCTATAATCCTGACCCCTTACCGAAGGCATTCAACGGTCAACACGGAAGAGCTTATTTGTTCAACGATGTGTATGCGCTGCCCCTCTCTCCAATCCCTTCTCCGATTCTAACCCCCCTTCCTCTCTGCCTACAGAGTTAACGTCGTGGAAGGTGAAGCAGTCGACCGCCAAATGACGACAGGCAACCACACCGTCAGGGACATCTACTGTGTCAAATGCCACACAACTCTCGGCTGGAAATACGTATGTCGCTTCTTTCGGCCCCCTCTCGGTTCCCTCTTGCCTGCGCACCTCTCATCTCTCACCACTTCTCCATCGTTTCCACTTACAGGACAGGGCATACGAGGAATCGCAGAAGTACAAAGAGGGCAAGTTCATCCTAGAGCGCAACTTGCTCACCGACGTGCAGTAGTCGCGCGCCCCTGCGCGCCCCCTCTTCACGTCTTGCTTACCGTCCTCAGGCTTTAAGAATCAGGCTTCATCAGCTATACCCCTCCTCGCCCCACGCAGGTCCCTGGTTGGCGCGCACACCTCTGTCTTTCGAAGGTTCATGCGTGCACCTCTTGACCTCCCCGGCCTCCCCGTGTCCACTCCTGCTATTGCAACCCCACCCCCCTCCTCTCTCATCTCGACCCCACCGTCTTACTTCACCCTTCATCTTCTTCGCCCACACTGCATCCGCATTTCGCACGTCGGCCCCCGTCCTCCTCAGCTGCGCCGCATGACGCCATCGCCTCGTCCGCATCCTCCCCATCGATCCTGCATGCACTCGCCTTTTTCACAAGGCGCGTGTCCACGTTGCAACCTGTGACCTTGGCGGCGTGTACATCGATCCCTTCCAACGATGCGGTGTACCATCGGCGCCGTACTCGGAGGTTCCTCGTGGGGGGATGCGGGCTCACGGAAATCGGCATTTCGGTTTCCATCGTTTCCGTTGTGTCGTCTCTACCGTTTCATCCCGTACTTTATTCTCCTCACCCTTGTAGAAATGTTCTTTTGCCGGACCCCGTTGCATATATGCACGCCCGTACCATGCGGTCGCGTGCTACTCTCACCTCATTTCACACACGTAGTATTCTTATCCGTCACCCCCCCATCCCGCCTAATCTTTTATCTACTTATCTACGATGTCTCTCTCTCTCCATAGGTGTTTCAAGTGTTCTTGTAGGTTCTATGACGTAGTCTTCCCAATCCAAATGTGCCATTAGTATCGAACCATTGTTGGATGTCCGATCAATGATTCGATCAGGAGGAGTGGCAACTTGCAAGTGGAGTGGTGCATTGTAGAAGTACAGTACTTGCGGTATATAAATCTTGAGTTCATCATCATCATCATCATGTAGTCTGTGGTCGCAGGCGGAGCTGGCAACGGTTCACCGTGCCGAGTCCCGATATTGCCGAGTCGGCACGACGGCAACTCCCGGACTCCCAGCCGAGCAAAATGATCGGAATGGGGAAGGACAAAAATGCTCCCTGCAAGGCTCGAACTTGCGACCTTAGGATTTCACAGTCATTTGACTGCTCATAGGCAAATATGAGACCTACGCTCTGCCAACTGAGCCAAGGAAGCGTTGTTTTGTTGGGGCTGGCTCAGCTTGAGTAGTTCCTCAGACGATCATTTCTCTGGCCGCAACTCCCTGAGTGTCTCAGCTTCGAAACATTCGCATTCCAATTTACCACCTACCCAAAACCATGTCCCAACGGTACGCACACATCGTCCACCGTACGTATTGTCCACAACATCTCGGGCTGAACGAGTACGGCATGACCCCGCCGCACTCGGGGCGGTCCTCTCCCCTCGGCGGCGCGGGCACGAACGGCACCCAATACGCGCACGGCGCGCGCTTCGCGGACGACCTCGAGGGCCAGAACGACGAGGCGATCGAGGGGCTCAGCGCGAAAGTGAAGATGCTCAAGGATGTACGTGAGTCCCGCCCGCGCCCGTCCAGGTCCTCGACGTCCCGGAACGCTGACGTGCCCGTCTCCCCCCCGTGGGCGTGTGTGCCCATTGTAGATCACGATCGGCATCGGAAACGAAGTGCGCGAGTCCACACACCAGCTCAGCCAGATGGTGCGTGCGTTTCACGGTGGGACGCGGTGCGGGGTCGGGGCTGACTCGTCTGTGTGTATGTGTGTGCGTGCGTGCAGAACGATGCGTTTTCGGAGACGTCTGGCATCCTCGCGGGAACGTTTCGACGGATGAACAACATGGCGGGGCGGCAGGGCTGTCGCTGGCTATGGTACATCGTCTTCCTCACGATCGTCTTTTGGTTTTTCCTCTTCGTGTGGTGGCTTCGACGGTAGCTTCCGCTTCACGCGCGCACTCACTACGCCTCGCCCGCCCATCATGTATCCATCTCGCCTTTTCATATATATCACGCTCGGAAGAATCCTCGTTTGACCGCTCAAATCGCCGGCCGCACCAGCCAAATCGCCATGTATTAGTGACGCTGATCAAGTATTAAAGTATCCGACGCCGCTTGCGCTACGCGCGCGGCGGAAGTGGAACGAAATTTACAAACAAACCAAACCAAGCCAGGTCTACAAGATGCAACGTCCGCGTCACTGTTCACGGTCGCCCCCCGATGAAGACTAGTGTTCGTCGCGCAGTTGCGTGTGCGCGATTTCCCACACCATCCGCCGTCTGAGGTACTTGATGTTCTTTTGGGTGAAGTTGAACGTTTCCTCGCCCCGCGAGAGGGTCTCGAGGAACTGGCACGTGAACACGCCGCA